GTCCACAAAAAAACAAAACAAAAACAAAACAAAAAATCAAGGAGTGCACTAACCTCATAATTCGATTCTTAGAAGAAACAAAATTAAAAGAAACAATCATATGAATTTGATGTTTTTATGAAGTGGTAGGGGTTGTTACAGAGAACAGCGATTTCCTTTTACGACATATCTCATTTAATGACTCGCGCAGTAATACGTTTTGGAATATATTTCATAAAAGCGGAGGCAGGGATTGAATTACCAAGAACGAATTCTTGAGGATGCCTAGTTAGCGATATATTTGTTTGCCTGACAACAGATACCTGAAAGATACTAACATATAACTGAGAGTAGACGATGTCCTCTTCCTGTCTGAAGTCCTTTACAACAGATATTAACATATAACTGAGAGTAGACTGTGTCCTCCTCCTTTCTGACGTCCATTACAACTGATTTCAACATATAACTGAGAGTAGACTGTGTCCTCTTCCTGTCTGACGTCCATTACAACAGATATTAACATATAACTGAGAGTAGACTGTGTCCTCTTCCTGTCTGACGTCCATTACAACTGATATTAACATATAACTGAGAGTAGACGGTGTCCTCTTCCTATCTGACGTCCTTTACAAAAGATATTAACATATAACTGAGAGCAAACTGTGTCCTCCTCCTGTCTGACGTCCTTATCAAAGTTTATCTCATCACATTAACTGAAATCCTAGGTAACATTACATACTTGAATTGACCAAGATTTACATTACGCGTGTTGGCGATGAAGCAGAAAACGCTTATTCCTCCGGAACACCAGAGTATTATTCTCCTTGTAGGTTTTTTAAAAGTCTACTTGTATTTTTTTCTTTTGTTTTTATTATGTCCTAGTTTGATTAAATTCAAGTTTTGGTGATATTGGCTTGTTGGCATTTTTTATTTTTATCATAATCATTTTGTTTTCTTTGAATAGTTTTTGTCAACATTTTATTTGTTGTACTTAACTTAACTGTAACTATATTCATGTTCTTAATTTATCTCCCGTTTGTCTATATTGCTGTATCATAACCATACATTATGAAATTACAAAGGAAAATAAGTTTGTATAAGCATATATTTTTAATTTGGCTATCTTCAGTTGTTTTCCGGGAAATACAGCTATTGGTATTTCAGGCTGATAGTGAAATTTTAATTTTAATTTCTCTTAATTAATAAAAAATCAAATTTTAGCTTCATTACAACTTGTCTTAGATGGATAAAATTACACTAAGGTGTGTGTGGGAATTAGATTGAAGAGGTGATATCCATAATTATTTATCTATTTTACAACAATTATGAAGCAAGCTATCAGCTTACTGTGGGAAGAAATGGAGTCTCTGTGGAAAACCCATATGGTCGGGCAGGTGACCTCTACCTCTTCACTACCATTCCGCGAATCGAACCACGAACCACCAGACCATCCAATACTTTCCTTACACTCAACAGACACCATAATCAGCTCCCATTCGTCTGTCTTTCTGTAAATCTCTATAGTTTCTCCGTTCTAATTATCTTATCTTTTTCGCCACTTAATGAATGATTCACAACGCTCCTAAGACATTTTGCTAATCCCTCCGTAATGTTTGATAATGTTCGTTATATTTCTCTACATGTCTCGTCGACGTTTAAATTCTTGTTTTGTTGATGAGATATTTCATTAATATCGTCCTGACATGATGACACCATAGTGCTGTTTGTTCTTCTATAGGAATTTCTCCTTGTATCTGTATAATGTTGTCGCTGCAGTGTGTTTTATCCGCCGTATATATAATGGGATGCTTTAAGTATAGACGTCCTTGTGACCTTTGTCCATGAGTGTTTTTATACCATTTTATGTCAATATCACAATGTACAAGTATTTTGCTCTGATGCGCTTATGCCACAAAGTGTAATTGGTTTTTAACTGTTGAGTTTTTTTTATCTAAATTTGACCGTATTATTTAAATAAAGTGTAATTTATTTAAATCTGTTAAGTTAATTTTGACATGATACCTTAGTTTTTCTGTGTTTGTTTATAGAAATTAATGTAACTTTCCTTTTTGTGCTGAAACAAGCCTGTAATTAACTTAAAGCCTCAAAGTACTTCATCTGCTATGTTGAAACCAGGGTAGTTAGCCCTGGTTTGTTAAATTCACAAGGTAGTCCATTCTTATGTGTTGACACCACATTATAGTTAGTCCTCGTATTTTAAAGTCATAATGTTCTTCATCCTTGTATGTTGATACCAGCGTATTCTAATGTGTTCACACCACAGCGTAGTTAGCCTTAATACGATTAGATACTGCATGAGTGATGATTTCGGCATGAATGTATGAGTTTGATCGAACTGTCTTCTAAGTGTTCGATCTATAGATATATCAGTAGTAAATTTTCCCATAAGCAGTATTCAACAGAACTTATTTGTTTATAAAATATGAAAAAAATAGCAAAACCTCAGATTGTCATCGCATACATAAATGGTATAATGAAACTGGTAGGTTTGATAATTCTGAAAGAATCAATAGAGTTTACACATATTGTACAAGTAGTGATATTCAGGATGATGATAATTTCACCTTTATAAAGTGCGAGCATTATGAAAATATCAGAAACTGTTTTATCAGAAAGTATCATTATTAAAAACTAGTGTGGCAAAATTTATCCGACAGCTGGAAAAAGAACAAATATTTGTCAAATTTAGGAAAATATATTGGCATTAGTAACAAGCGACTAAATACAGAATAAATAATGTATATATATATATTGATATATGGTATTATTCTCTACACTTTGATCAGGTATGTGTTGTTTGTGTGTGTTGTGAGCTATGTATTCCCTGTGTTTGTTGTTGTGTTTATACTTACAATGTGAATATATGTATACACTGTTTAATAAATCGTACGGTGTGCGGTAATAACCGATTTGAATCCTTGTATTTTGTGACAGGAGCTTGACATTGTTAATTGCAGATAAAACTAGTTATCTGCACTAACAGCTGAACTAGATACTTATAATACCAAGATCTAAATTTCTTAGATCAGTTTTATGATCTGAGGAATTACAAGATGTCTTGTATATTAATTATGACAAGGCATTGTTACAGGTTTCCACACCCTCACACGGGAATAGATACAACGCAGCTTTGTGATCATCTCATCTCCAACGTCAGACCAATACAACAATGGTCAAAGATGTTTGTTTTGTAAAGTCGCTGACGATATATTAGTAGATAGTAAATAGTGGGGGCCAAACTTAAAATCAATAAGCCTAGGTTTGATATGTTTATTTATATAAAGTTTTTGCAGCAAATGGATCAGTAATTATACAAGAACGAGGGAAAGAAAAGGATCAGACAACAAAAAAAGTTCAACAGTCAAAACAAACAAAAACATTCTGTATGCAATCAAGTATGTAGAATCCATCAACATTAATCTTCTAGGAATGAGAAAAACTTTACCTTCAGACGTCCCTCTGGAACGTGTCAATTTAGCGGTGTAGTTTTTATACCGCAGCCCAAAATAGCGTGGTGATAGTGTAGGTCACTTTTTATCGGTTAGGAAACACATTTACGACAGCGTTAATGGGTTTTCCAGGTAGTGAATGAGGTTTAAAAGACAGAAAGACAAAAAATATATCCTGTATACAATAAACAGGACGGCTTCTCATAATTTTGGAATGGGATTGAATTATTGCAATTTTAAAATTCTTAAATATACAGTGGTACTTGGTCATAACAATTAAAACGGGAAAAAGTAAACATCAACACAACGAAAGGAAAGCCAAAGTGGATATAGACATGTAAAGTTATTTAAATGTGCTCTTTACTGAAGTTCATAATTTAGTACTACAAGGATAAAGAAATCAAAGATACACTTAAAGATTGTATAAAAGACTCGCAAGTGAATAGCACCTTTTCATAATTAGGAGCAAGATACAGCAGAGCCAAATAAGGAATTAAACTGCATTATTCCGCTGTTTCGTCCTTCTAGACCTTGTCTGTGATGCTTAGGACCTAAATTTTGAACCTAGGAGGTGACTAAGGAAAATCCAAATCAAGAGAAATGTCAAAATCTAGACGGAGAGGTGCAGCAGTCCGAATATTAGATAAAAAATAAATAAGATGATTCATGAATACCGGGTTTTCCATGCGGTTTATGTTTTTGTCTTGAATCTATAATCAGTGACTATGTCCTTTCACAAATAAGCATTCTGTAGAAATAGATCATCTATCAAGAAACAATGATAAAAGAAACTTATCAAAACAATCAGGATATTGTCAGGAATCGCTGTAACATAATAAGCGTTATTTTTCGTCACCGCCCATCAGAAACCAATGAAAACGCTGTCAACGCAAAGGACATGAAAGGTGTCCGTGTATTGGCCCGGCGGACTCGCACTGTCAATCAGACAGTGACGACGGAAGATTTCAACCACTTACGGCTTGTTTTTATATACCTACTTACGTAGGTTGGTCCCATTATATATACAATGTATAGATGGTTCCCTTACAGAGTATATGTTGTGACAAGTTAAAACATTAGATTGCGGTTTGGAACACACAATAGGTTAATTTTAGTTGCTTCTTAAGGTGAGTTGTTGATGTGATTTGTCATAGAACGTCGGCGTTAGAATAGACTATTGTAAAATAAAAGACGTATTTTACATTGTATTATTAATAGTAATTAATAATGATTGTTAAAGTAAAAAATGTGTTGTCATCGTACGTTGGTGCACCTGTCATAGCATTGTATAAATACGGAAGCATATAGACTGACGGCATAAACTTATCAAACTTCAGGAAGCGGCAGGTAAAACGAGCAATATTCTTGACCGTTAACCACACATAGACATGGCAAACATCGTATTTAATGTGTGATAGTTTATAGTGTGTAACATATATGATCGTGTAGTGTTGAAAAAGTATATAATTTGTCTAATAGAATCTTCTGCAGAATTTAAACATGGATTTTTAACTTAATTTTCCCCCTCTCTTTTTCAGAAAACAAATCAGAATGAATATTGCAGTGAGTTACCGTATTATTTGTTTATTGTCCGTGCTGGTGTCTGAAGTATACCTTACTATAACTTTGCGAAGGTCTCGGTTTAACCCTGAGCTCCGACGACAACAACATATTGAATCCGGAGGCTTCCGACACCCTCTTCTCCGGCGCCAATTTAACTATAGACAAAATGGAAATCGACCAGTTACTAAAACTATTTATCACCATGGTCATTCACATACGTACATACCACGACTTACCAATAATGCTAATTTAACCCCACAAGGTCCGCAGAGTTTGCGGATAAAAAATGGTGTGGAGTATTTGCCAAAATGGGTCGTAGAGCGTTTTCCTCAGGGTCGCCAGCAGAGGCAGTACGGATTTTGCGATAGACAGTATGGCATTAACACAATGTTGTCGGAAATAAAAAAGCTGTTCCCTGGCAGATTTTCGTCTGAAAGACGTATCCGTCTATCTGATCGGGAACGCAGACACAAACGCCAGCACAGACACAGGGACGAGCAGTGGGAGTTTAACCCCAGTAGCAAGATCAGGGACACCAGCATGTTATCTGACAGCGAGGCATTACGACTTGATGGAAACACTGTCGAAGTGCAACGACCATTGCTTCCAAATAGTCAAATATTGGACAATAATATACGACGCAATAACGAGTCCAACAGATTGTTGACGAGCAATGATATCTCGACTGAATCTCAGCCCCGTCCACAAGCTAGTCCTGCACAGGCAGCTAGACCTCTTGACACGAGTGCTTTCAGATGTGAACCAACCTGCTGCGAAACGTAAGTAAACAAAGTCGGAAACACAATATTCTTTTCCATGGATTTGCATCGGGAATGAAAAACTGCTAAATATGTATAATTAACAATAGATTTTTAATCGTCCAGCTGACAGAAACATTTGAAGTAACCAAATATTATAAAGCTGTTTGTTTTCTGCTTCATCAGTCCTATTGAAGCCACTTTTGTCAGTGTATTACTTCTCGTGTTACAGTTATATATGGACTACAGCGATAAATTCTTGTCAAAATTCTTTGAAATAAGAACATCATACTATAATGGGAATGAACCCGTGTTACTTCGTTTTTCACTTACTCAATGTTTATTGGTTGTACGTCTGATAATCATTGTGATTTACATAATGTTATGATTGTTATAGGGAAATGTTACACGTGGTTTACGACAACGTGACAATAAACGGCGAAACATACTCCGTTATTAACCTGGAAGATGAGAAACAGTTCATGAACGTCGGATTTTGTCCGTAAGTTTTACCACGTAATATTAGATAGATAGATAAATCTGTACCAGAGTTGTCTTTCCTTACAGTCCCTACGCACGAGGATATCGCAATGCACTCTGGGAGAAATTGTGATGTATGATGCATTTTCAATCATTGTTCTCATTGTTATTGTTTTTACTTCTGAGTACAAACATAGGAGCGGTGGGTAAGATATGTCATTTCAAAATGATTTATGTTTCAAAAGTAAGATATCTTATAAGCATCCATCTTTTTTGTCAGTAACCAGCAATGTGCAATGTAGTATAAGATTATTTTTAGATTTTTTTTCTAGCTTGTTGTTTAATCAGTGTTAAGTTTTCCATAACATCAAGTGTTCTTCTGTGTAAAATACCAAACCTTAAATCTTTTGTTACGTTTGTTACAAGTGTAACAATCAGTTATACTTATGTAAAATGTAGATGACCAATCTTATCTTACTAATGAAAGAAATCCACGATATATCGTAAATATGATATATACATAAGTAAGATGTCTTTCGTGTGCATGTGTGTACAGGTGTTCAAAAGCAACCCTGCCACTTCAAAAGCCACCGTGCCACTTTAAAAGCAACTGTGCTACAGCTCATCCAGACATATTGTGCGTTAATCGTTTGCTTTTTCAATCCTTCCTTGTATCAAGTATCAATAATTTTAAATTAGACCAAAAACACAACTATTCTCAAGAACAGTAACTGTCCTACCATATTCGCCATGGTCATGACTAACTGCAGTGTGCGACTGTACAGTCATGACCTGCTCTGATGAATATAGTGAATGGTGGGGTCAATGCCGTGACCCCCGAAATATATGCGCACTCATAGTCATGACCTGCTTTGGTGAATACAATAAATGATGGGGTCAATGCCGTGACCCCCGAAGTACATGTGCACTCATAGTCATGACTTGCTTAAATATTCACTATAATTAATAGTGTAATCATGCCTATGATCTCCCGGAATATATACAAAACCTGGTGGGGACAAATTCATGACTAATTGCAATATACAGCTTGTGGAGCAGTCATAGGTATGGCTCTGGTCTCCTGCAATATATACAAAACCTGGTGGGGACAAATTCATGACTAATTGCAATATACAGCTTGTGGAGCAGTCATAGGTATGGCTCTGGTCTCCTGCAATATATTCAAAACCTGGTGGGGACAAATTCATGACTAATTGCAATATACAGCTTGTGGAGCAGTCAGAACTACGGCCTACTAGTGTCAATACCATACCTAACCTTGCCAAAATGTATCACGTTTCTTCCTTTGCATAATAATTTACATATATAATACCAATAATGAATATTGTATTGTTTTCAATAATAGGCAATACATGACTGTTGTCCTGTCCGCATAACACATGATAATTCCCCTGAACAGTGGTACTGGTTATTTTGAGATCGGTGTAGAAAGTCGTTATATAATCTAGGTATGACTGTATTTCCTCGTCTTTATTCTAATATCTATTTCGGCCTCGGTTCATTTACTTTAATTACCTCCCATTGTCCTGGCATCGCTAAGGATAAAACAGCTGTATGATATATTCTAATGCATTACCTGGAAATACTTTTATTCTAAATTCTATATTGAAAAGATATATTCACTTGTGTATATTTCGCACGAACGATATTTATAATGAAAAGGTCTAGGAATGTCTTGACCTTTCTTAGTGGTGTAGTGACATCAATCATACACGGTGACGTCACTGTAATGTCTGATACACACTTTAGATAGGTCTGGGACAGGATACTCCATCACACCACGTAACCATGCATGTTGCCACGGCACGCTTGTTCCCAGTTTTTTTTTTACGACAGCTGATTGAATGGTGTGATGTATAAATCAGACAAGGAACAGTGTGTCGTGTGTTTGTACACATCCGTAGTGATAACTACCTGTAGATAGGGTCCCCAATATTGCAGTAGAATATACCTTGGAATAACTGCATCAAATATTTTCAATTATATCTCTAGGAAAGAATGCTTGATATTTCATTTCAATTGCTTAATACAGATGGCATAATACAACCTTAGGGGTTTCATGACAATGATACCATGATGTTGTGACGTCACAACTGGACCAAGAGATTATCTAACATCTTGGTTCTACTAAATTCAACTGTTTAATCATAAGGCAGCTGATGTAATGAACGGCATTGTGTCATTGATAACAGGGTCGTTATGTGATTTTATTATTATTGGTAAAAGTGACTGTAGTTCACAGGTATTTTCTTCATATAGCTGGGTGTGTTAATTATACTTTGCAAAATTACATCCTGAAATCTTTTTACCGTATGTAGCTGACTGTTTCCTTATATTAATCAAACTTTTTAAAAAAAAATACATCCTGAAATGTTTGACGGTATTAAGATCCAGGGGCAACTTTTATGACTAGATAAAATTAATAACCAACATTTTGGAAAACTGGAAAGTAAAACACCAGTTTACACCCACGATAACATTTTTTGGGAATTCCCTTCAAACTTCCTCATTATGTTTCCCCAGGGATATGAAAACCTTTAATTCACTGTGTTTATTACGTCAGAGACATTAACTCTGCGTGTTCTAACCATATCGATGGCATGGCACTCAACTTTAAATATGCTGCCAGAAAGGATTCGCCTTTCATTTGTATTTTGACAGGATAGGGTACCATACTACCGTGTCAGGGTAATGATATTTCAGTGTGACGACACTATGATACAGTATAGTTCTGTGACACCATCCACATACGACGTTTACTGTTGCATTGACGTAATATCGCAAAGACATTAACTTGTTACCTTATGGCCACAAATAATGCTGACGCATCATTTAAATATGATAATAACTGTTTTTTTTATCATTTACTTCCTCAAATAAATCAGATTCGTTCTTTTTGTTTCAATAGGGAGAGAAATACGTGTACATTTGGTAGCTGCTTCCAACATTACTCAACCCAATACGTCGTTATATGGAACATAACAGTGGATTACTGGCCACCAGTTGACCTGACGCCACACGAATTTCCGTCACACTGTTCCTGGATTGGATAACAATGTCACACCCCCAAAGTCATAGATCAAACGCTCTCAGGTCATACCTCAGAACATTTCATCGAAATGAATCCTGATCGCCAGCGAGAAATCCACGATCACGTGACTCGTGTGAGCTGCAGGTCACGCCCACTGAAAAGGCGCCGCCCTCCACGGCTAGCACGAGAACAACTAGAACGAAGGTTATAGTTACCGGTAAGATAGATAGATACGCCATCACTGTCCTGGTGTATTATCCGTGTTATATTTGTCTGTGATACATAAAAAATAAATCTCTATTTTTGTCGTCTTGTTCCTCGTTGTTTGTATACGTCATAAGGACGGTTGGTAACGTGAAGTAGACACTGGTGCATGGAGTCGTTACTATGTAAAACAACTTTTTTCACCCCCCCCTCCCCCCGCCCCCCCCCCCTTTTTTTTAACTGAAATAACCCACTTTTTCTCATCTTTTATAACAATAACATATCTAAACATTTTTAAATGAAAGAACGAAGATAAATTGGCATGAAAATTGTCAGATTTGAGTCAAAACATAATACTAAAGAGTTCTGGAAAAATCGAAAATAAATTGATAAAAATAGATAAATAAAACTACAAATAATCTGAATATTTGGTTCCATCAATGAATAACAAAGATAGCTGCCCTCGCATAATCCTTCAGGTTATAACGGAATACAGTCTAATATAATTCCATCTAAATATATTTCTCTCTCTCCATCCATTTTTCATACAGAGTAAATGTAGGATGATAGATAACTGAAATGGGTCATTTCACTACTGCTAAATGATTTCTTAAGGGACATTTTTATTTTCGTTCTCTTCGATTTGATGGAAAAATTTTTTTTGAGAGATACAAATCGACGTGTTTTATCCTCGATATTTGTCTCCGTGATTTGTTGCCGAATATCTAATTTTAATTCAACTACGTCTGAAAGCATATGGCGTCGGTAAAAACCCTACAAGAACATCCCATCATATTCTTCTTCTGGTTAGGAATCGTCTCTCTTATCCCACTACATGATCGGAGGAGGCGAGTAGTCTTTTCTCTCTCTTTGAAGGGCATTTTGTACGCTTCCTCTTGGTGTTGGTAGTTCCCCAATGTGAGACGGACTATTTGTTGTGTCCCCCCGGAAGTGATACATCCGTTATCAAAGTAATTTCTCCTGGTCGTTCACAGCACAGGAACGTGTTACCTCGGTTCTGTATCATATAACCAAATGGAGTGTGATCCTTAAGTGTTCATATTGTGACACTTCAGTAAGATGAGATCGTAAAAGTGTCCGCCGTAGATACGACCTACCATCGGTGAATACTATTTTCAACTGACCATGAGAAAGGTAACTTCAAACGAACCACCAACGCTTTGTGAGTAATTTAACATACCAGACTGACGGAACACCGTTGTTCTTTTCGTTGTGAGATCTGGATTGTTTCTTAAGAAAGAGAGAGAGTGAGAATGTGGAAATGTCTACACAATATTAATTCAAACTAAATTTCAATGAAAGTATGGCAACATTTGAAGAAAAAGAGCATCATAAACGACTAGCTTCATTTCACACAAGAAATTAAATGAACGAAACTGAACATATACATATTTAACTAAATGCGACAATAGGGTCATTGATATCACGCTTGCTACACACATTAGTGGAAAGTTGTCCATGTTGGTTTCGTCGTTAAAAAGATCGATGAAACTGGCTGATACAGAAGAGACTGTCGTGTAAGCCAACTATTGGAATAATACTGAAGCGTGTTTGGTCAAAGATCATCAATATCAAAGAAAAAAAATACCGAGGGTCAAATTTCTGGTTGTCGGTATCTACGTCGAATATGATGGTAAGATCCTTCAGTCGGCTAGTACATACACATGTTCCTCTTGTCGAACTTTTTCTTTTTTCCCCATTTTCCCCCTGAACATGTCAAATGCTTTGCCATGTCCTTCAATTTCACTTTCAAATATACTGATGATGTTTTGGCTTTAAATACCACGAAATGTACTGACCCATCAATATTGCCTTAGAATTGGAAGCGAAAGACACGACAGTCACTCACTGGATATTATTCTACATCAAATACGACAGTTATATTCCCATGTTCGAAATAATGTAGATATTACAGAGTTGATTACCTTTATGAGTAAATATAATTTTTTGACAGAAATCGAATATATCTAACTGTAAATCAGTAGCACTGAAAATAACTAGAATGATTTTCTACATTTAAATGTTTTTTAAATGTCAATAAATCAAGCCTTCAAATATATATACTCTGAAATTAACGATTAATCCATCTATATTATACTTCAGAATGTTTGACATTGTTGTGGTTTATGAACATTATATTCCATATATACTAGTATTTTATTCGGATATTACGGAATGTCTGAATTATTGGTCAGGTCTCCCTACACCGCCTCCTTCTTTATTTTCTAGTTTTCAATCACGTAAAAAGACTGTTTACATCAAAAATAAAAAGCAATAGAATAGATAAGGTCATTCAGCATTTGTAACAGCCATCGCTATAACACGGAAAACACATTTGAAATTCGAACACATCGCATTAAGTATAAAGTCACTGTAGAGGAATTTTATTGATAATTGGATTATTGGCCCGAACCGAGCTGGAAGACGTTCTTTCGTTCCAAAGTGGTTTGTGTTGACTCCAATTGGTTCTGTGTTTATTTTAGTGACGATGTTTTCCTAACTTGAAAAGATTCTGCAATTCATATTTCGTACATACCAAGACGCAATCCCTAATTAAATTTCTAAATATTCGCTGATGCTATTTTGCATTCACTCCAAATGACAAAGAATATCTGGATGTGCTTTCATTAAGCAATGTCGTGTTGTTTATGTTGACTTTCTGGAGCATATGAACATCACCGCAGCCGAAAATGGCGGAGGAGATGTTAACATTGGAGGATATGACTATCTTTAAATCTATTATTGATAAAATAGATTTATCGATGCCAACCATTAGGACGATAACCTCGAACTAGTGCAAATCAAACAACACGACTTCACTTTACACAGTAACAATGAAACACTTTATTTATGAGACATAAAAAATATGTCAACAGAATCTAAAGTCAAACTTAAAACCTATGTAACGAGCAAGAGAAAAATGAACACAAGAAAGACAAGGATTCTTTTGAGAACATAAATGTATACAACCAGCGTGAGTTTCATTTGGGTCAATATCTTCAGCCTCATCAACGACACTCGCCATTAAGTCTAGGGCGTGGAGTAAAAATGAAATGTTCTTCTTGAAGTTTTTTTCACGAGTGTTCAAGATTTGGTCGAAAGTTTTCAGGAAGTCAATAACATCTACACATAAGTAATTCCGTTTCTCGAGTAAACAGAAAACCTCAAAATACTTGTAGGATGATGTTTGTCAAATGTTGTCAGCCATTTCATACTTATTCTGACGGTTGTAAAATGCCTTCAATATTTAACAAGACATTATCATGGCAAGTCTCGAACCATCATGACGACCCTTCATCTTACATATTTTTACAAGTTCAACAAATTGTAGAGTGTTTAATAACGACACCGCTATGGGAACAAACGTATTGGTTGATGGAGGAAATCCGATTGGGAATGAAACCAACTACGTCACATTGCTACCATATTGTGTTGTTTTTTTCTATTATCTGTCTACCATCTTATCACACTTTTTCTACCTTAAGTGTACATAGCATTATATTACAGGCGAAACAGTTGGTCAATTCCGTACCATCTCGTACACTACGTATGTCAGTGTTAGTACACTCCACTGGTCATTTGTCTGACGATGGTGACCATGTAATCATCGAAACGTTACACTCAGACATTCTACTGGTTGTGTTATAAGAATGTTCATTCTGTTTAGCCCAACGGGATAATCCTCTGCCAACAATGTGTCACGTACCCGCAATAGCGATGAACAACCAAAATTGTGTCTACAGTCTCAACATCACAACATATATCGAATTATTATGACGGTTATAAAATGTATTCATTTCTCATTATTACGGTAACCAACTGTTCTCAATGACATTTTCACTGATTGAGTATAATCATTCAGAAAGTTAATATCAATAACAGCTTGATACACGTGAATGCTGACATTCAGTTATCATTTTAGAGACAGAAATTTTCGGTCTATATGGCAGGCACTGAAATATCATTTCAGGGAATTATGAGTGGAAAACAGCTGCTCCATAAACTTGTACTAAGTGACCAAAACTATAGGTGTAACGATCCTAATAACATCAGAAACACATTTAGGCTTTCACGGTACCGGTTTAAGTGTTGTTTGACACCTGCAGGAAATGTTTTTCATAAAATGTAGACACAGAGCATTACTTAATGTAAAAGTTTTCAAAAAAAAAGCTTCATCAATTTTTGACATGGCGCACTCCTATTTAGAGTTTTATTCATACCTTAGTCTTAAATATAAAGGATGGATTCTGCATTTGTCAGTTTAACTTTGAAATTTAGTGACGTAATTAGGCCGTTTTAAGACATTTGTATTAAGGATTGGCGTTATGTTATCTAATGATTTCTAATTACATAACTCACCATCCCAGACACCTATAGTTCTATATATTGATTGATCTATATGTGTATAGCGTTGGGCCCAAAGACACTACACACAGAACACCTGTCAGTCCTAGTACTATCACTTTCTAGTGCTATAGAACCAGCAGGTACTTTTAGTTTAAACAATATTTCATTCAATAATCAGCAATTTGACAGATAATCTTATGGGAAAACAAGCTTGATCTTAAAAAAATATTACTTTTGGAAATGAATGTAATTCTTCATTAGATATGGTAACTTAAAGACATAAACCATTTTAGAATATGCAGATACTCTGTTTCAAAAGCTAGAAAAAACCCAAAGCAGTTGCCATATTAAGTTACCATATTTATGGCAAAAACAAATCAGTCATATCTGTAAGAAACTATGGGTTCTACAGCACCTTGGTGAGATTTGTAGCTATGGGACAGTGCTCAG